CTATGTGACTCTAGAGTGAAAGGGCCAATTGTGATAACCCTAAAGTATTACTAAATATTAATCTCTACAGTAAAAGTTGAGCATGTCTGTCTTACACTATTACCTAACTCGACTAATTCACAGTACCAAGATAACTTCCGCTCAGCACAGCCTCAGACTTGACATTGACCGACATCTCGCGATCAACTGAGTCAAAAAATGGTACTACTCGGCCAACACCGCTTCAACTGATTCCATAGTAGGACTCGACCTCGACGCTACCTATTCACCGACATCATCGCATTACCGATAGTCAAAAGGAGTACTTCTTGAAACCTAGTACTCCGGGAGTCAAAAAAGATGTACAGTTTACCTCGAAAGGCCCTAGACAGTCGACGACTCTCGCATTAACGTTCGACAAACATCATCCATTACCTAGCCCCTATAGTCTTTATGACTCACGGACCTAGTCAGCACAAGGCCCTTGCCTTTCATTCCCATAATAAATATAGCAGCATGACTCACGCTTCTAAACCAACCGATCACATAGCAATAGTTCTATCAGCTCCCCCCCCCCCCCCCCCCACACGCTAGCCTAGCTGGGGGCTCGCCCCAAATTACCGTTCTTTCCCTCAAGATTCCACTAAAAAGGAGCGACAACTGTATAAGGTATTAGTCTCTCTTTAGTCTTTTTTTACTAACAAAGAGGCCCACTCGTAGTATTTTCCCTCTCAAGATCACCTACTGACTTGATCGTCGAGGAATAGAACCACAGAACCGCAACTCTAGCTCTTCTTACGAGTTCCGGGCTTCATGTGTAGGGAAGTATCCAGCAAACGCCCCCAGGACCATCATTTAGGAGGAGTTAGCATGACACTAAATCACTCCGACAAACTCCTCAGATAAAACCGCCTATTTTGATAGCTGTCATCAACAAATGAAGGATGGCGATTGGCTTGTTCTTAGGGAATGATGTGAAGGTAGAGGTGTATCTCGCTATAGCAGCTTGATAGCTGGCACAATATGCGAAGGGAGCCAGAGACAACGTCATCAGGTTTGTAAAAATGGGTTGGAATTGAAAAATCAGAATGAAACACATAGCAATAAAGTAGATAAATGTTAATTCAAGAAGACAAGTTAAAAACTCTTAACAAAATCACTTTGGAGCGGTGTAGATGATATTATAAATGAATAGAGGGGCTAGAGAAAATGTAAAGGGACCTTAGAATTTGGAGCGTATATATGGACAGAGACCGCTAGTTTTAAATATTAAACAACCAAAATTTTTTTTTGAAGGCGTATTGAGGTCATATCTACGATCTTCCAATGGATTGACATAAGTAAGTAAACATATGTTAAGCGGTCATTTATGCCATTTCCCAAAACAAAAAGAAGGCAAAGAGAAACCAATACACCTCTGTTAATAAAAAAACCCATCAAAGATACGGGACTGCAACACTCAACAAAATGAGCGCAAGAAAAATCCCCCAAATCCGTGTCAACTTCCCGATTCCCGCTCATCGAAATCGCGACTTTTTCTCCTCGGCGAGAACTCCCTGTCTCCTCGCGAAATTTTCCCCCTCGATTTCTTTAGGGTTTGCTCAAAATCCCATAAAGTCCCAAATTTTGGCTTCTTAGTGGTTTAGTTGATTCCGCATGCAATCGGGCGGTGGGGTCCCATGGCCGCGAATCACGCGGCGCCTCCTCCTGCCTCTTCGTCGGCGTCTTCTTCCGCCGTTTCGAATCAGCTAGGGTTTGAATCGATGCATCAACATCAGCGCGCGAACAGCAAGCCAGCAGCTAATTTGGAGAAATGTGAGTGAAGATTCGCCGACAATTTTCGTTTATGTGTTTTGTCTGTGTTGGTTATTGTTTGAATGGGCGGATCTGAGGCGAAGGCGCGCGTTTGTTTTTTTGGTTACTTTCAAAATCGAAGGGCTTTGGAGACATTAGTTATCGCTCTTTTTTACGCTGCTTTTTATTTTGCTTTGCTAGATCGCGATAAGGGTGTTTGTTGCGTTTCTGTTCGCATTTTTTTGATGCTAATTAATAAAAATATAATGCTAGTTGACATGTAATTGATTTTGTGTTGCGATCCCTGAAAGTACTCGAGTTGTTGTTTCACTTGCTCTCTTTGGTTTATGTTGCAGTTACTGGAGATAAATAAGTTATGATTTAATAAAAAATGGTTTTCTTGTTAAGATATCTGTAGTGGGTTATGTTTTGTGTGTGATCTTGCTTTCTATTTAACATACAGCTTTATAATTTGTCGTTTGATTCTGGTTTCGTCATTCAGTGACTATTACTGTATCAATTATTGATCTTTTGGGTTCTTTAGTGTCATTAAAGTCTTTAGGCTCTTCTATTATTTATGTCCATTATAAGTGCTCGATCCTTTCTTTGCTAAGAGCCTATGAATATAGAGGTGGGAGATGCCTGATTCTTTACCTATTTTTGTGCCCTTGATAATCTGTTTCTTGCTTTACTAGCGCTAATTGGCTTTAAGGATTTGTACCATTGTCAATCTTTTCCTTTTACTGTTTACTGTAGACACTGATTAGATTACGATGTTTGATCCATGGTTTGTAGACACTGTTATAGAAAAATTGGTGAAGCGTAAACATGACTCTTGTGTCATAGTTTTCAATTATGCGATGTGGCTTTTTTAAAGTCATCTCTTTTCGCGTTGGCAATATCAGCAGCAACAGCTGCAACAACAGCGAGCAGGCAACAGACTGCCCAGCAGCCAGGCAGGCAGCCAGGTTGCAACAGCCGAGCAAATTGCAACAGCAGCCCCAGCCAATTTGCACAGCAGCAGGCAATTTGCCAACAGCAGCAGCGAGCAATTGCCAACGAGCGCGCAGCCAGCACTGCAACAGCGAGCAGCAGCAGAGCAGCAGCAGCTGCAACAACTGCCATAACTGCTAAGAAAGCCTGAAGGAAACTTTCCAACATCTTCCAATGCAACGCCAGGTTCCCATTCATTGAGGAAGTTTAATGATTCAACTCAACAACATGGCCCCCAATTTCTTGAGGACAATCAAAACAAAGGGCGTGGTTCAGAACATCTCCAGAACCCAGTTCATCAGGCTTACCTGCAATTTGCTTTGCAAGCTGCCCAACAACAGAAAGCCCATGGGAATATGCTCATGCAACAGCAAGGCAAATTTGGTATCATTGGGTCACATGGGAGGGATCAAGATGTGCATGTGAATAATCTGAAGATGCAAGATCTTATGTCTCTTCAAGCAGCGAGTCAACAACCGCAAGCGTCTATGTTTCAAAAACCACCTGAAAATTTTGGCCGTGGTGAAAAGCAGATGGATCCGGGGCGTGCTAGTACCCAGAGAAATGACCTGAAACCTCCTCAAAATGTGGTTGGGCAACAAACACCAGCAAACATGGTTAGGCCGATGCAGTCAGTACAAGCACAGGCAAGTATGGAAAATGCTGCAACCAACCAGTTCCTGATGGCTCAGTTTCAAGCGTGGGCTATGGAGCGTAATATTGATTTGACTCTTCCAGGCAACGCTAATTTGATTTCTCAGCTTCTGCCAGTTTGGCAATCTGCTAAGTTGGCTGCAATGCAGAAGCCAAATGAACCAGGTACAAGTGCACAGCATCCGGGTTTACCTGTCTCAAAGCAACAGGTTATGCAATCGTCAGTTGGAGGTGAAACTTCTACTCATGTCAATTACGCAAATGATCTCTCTGGTACAATTGGTCAAATGAAAAGCCGGCAAACACCTCCCTTATCGAGTAATGGAGCGACCACTTCAATGAGGACTAACAACATTCAAATGCAGCAGCAGCAGCTTGCTGTTCACAGCAAGGACAGCCAT